AAAATAAATTGAGTTCATTATTGTAACTGTTTCTCTTAAGTAGAGTAGATATTGATGTTCTGCGCCACGCGGACGTCAAGATCTTACATCATAGAGTTCTCCAAACGATATACCGTTTTTACAACCTTTTCTGGTTTTGACTTCGGAATTAGTTTAGGACCCGCCTGTTGTAAAACGGAAGAGACCATTCTTTTCAGCACGTGTACCACAAGCCAGGACCGTATTTAAGATGTTAGCCGTCAAGAACTGTGCCGCGCTGACTGTTGTATTTTAACAGTAGGGAACTTTTCTTTAATTAAACTGTTATACTAATTCATATGTGTGCTTTTATAACACTTTTTAAACACTCCCTACTTGAAGTAGCTTGATTTCAAGTTGAATTTTCTCATTAAATAGGTTGATTTCCTAAATTAAAAACGCCGAAAACTTGTCGTGATGAACAACGCCAGCTACCATTATGCACAAGCGGAAAAATATACCGAAACACATTTTACCGAATTGGACCTCATTCGTCGATTTTCACAGGAACAACTGTAGCAATTTGGGTCTTTACCCAATTGTCGGTCGGTGTGGACGATCGTATATATTTATTTAATGGGGCCTCACACGTGTTCGAAATATATCATTTCTGTTACCAAATATTTACCTGAGCGATATTTGGGTCGCCAGGAATTATTTATTTATTTGCGCTGATTGAGCGTAGTCGTCACGGACTATAAATCTACTCCAAGTAACTAATCATTTTGCTCTAAAAATATTAAACAAGGCTCCAGCTAAGAAAAAACACGAGTCATAGACAGGTTTATCCTGTGCACGAAGAGCAATTTACTTTAAAAGCTGGAAGTTTATATAACAGAGTGTTTTTCAGAACAATTACTGGGAGAGCCGTTGTAAATCCGCCAGGAAATCAGTGGGGATTTGCCGTTGTTCTTTGATATTTTAAAAAAATAATCTCTGAAATAACGTGGAAATATAACAGTGGCACTTAAATTTACAATATATAGCTTTTACAGTTCAAATGCAATGGTTAACTTCTAGTTTATAGGTTAGGCAAGTGTGACGTCACGTGACAAAATAGGGAAGTATATATTTTTATTTGTCGGGAAAGAAAATTACCTATTTCCAGTGGCTATGGAATATCTGCATTTTTCTCTCTACAAAATATGATCAAAAATATGTTTTCTACTTCCTTCCCTAGAAGCAAACATTGTGACACAAAGTGGTGGAAACGTCATCTTCGTTAACCACATCGGAAAATTTGGTTACTTTTATTTTAATTTATTAAAACTGGGTCAGAGAAGTATTATATATTTAGTTCCAAAATTATGAATATGCTTCCTGAAGAGTTAAAAAAGATTATTAAGGAAAAATCTTTTAAAAATAAATTAAAAACATGAATGCAGACATTCAAAGTGTAACCAATTACTGTCACAAATTTATCCTGTGCACGAAGAGCAATTTACTTTAAAAGCTGGAAGTTTATATAACAGAGTGTTTTTCAGAACAATTACTGGGAGAGCCGTTGTAAATCCGCCAGGAAATCAGTGGGGATTTGCCGTTGTTCTTTGATATTTTAAAAAAATAATCTCTGAAATAACGTGGAAATATAACAGTGGCACTTAAATTTACAATATATAGCTTTTACAGTTCAAATGCAATGGTTAACTTCTAGTTTATAGGTTAGGCAAGTGTGACGTCACGTGACAAAATAGGGAAGTATATATTTTTATTTGTCGGGAAAGAAAATTGACTATTTCCAGTGGCTATGGAATATCTGCATTTTTCTCTCTACAAAATATGATCAAAAATATGTTTTCTACTTCCTTCCCTAGAAGCAAACATTGTGACACAAAGTGGTGGAAACGTCATCTTCGTTAACCACATCGGAAAATTTGGTTACTTTTATTTTAATTTATTAAAACTGGGTCAGAGAAGTATTATATATTTAGTTCCAAAATTATGAATATGCTTCCTGAAGAGTTAAAAAAGATTATTAAGGAAAAATCTTTTAAAAATACATTAAAAACATGAATGCAGACATTCAAAGTGTAACCAATTACTGAAATAGATTACAATACCAGAACTAGTCGAATCACAAACAAGTAGAATCGTAAAACTTCTGTGATAATTTGTTCATACACTGTTGTGTACATTTAACTTTCTATTCCTATAAGTCGCAAATGAGAATAAACTCTATTACTGTCGTCATCATTTCACATGTCGATGTACCGATCGAACTTTAAGATCAAGTCTATTTCAAAAAGCACATTTACTAGGTCTTATAAATCCCCAAGTTGCTATGTAATAGAATACGCCGTTTTGATAAAAAATAAACAAAATGTACAGAACGCAATTGGAATCCGGCCAGAAAAAAAGTTGGATAAAATGAATTTACTCAAATTAAATTTGACAACTAAAGCTTAACTTTGTTAAAACCGAAATCAACCAACGTTGATATAGTATAATTGTCGATTTATCGATCTAATTCAAATTTTACAGAACATCAGACACTACGTATTTGAGCGCTGTTGTCTGTATTTATATTTACTTTTACCGAATTATAACTAACCAACTCGTTAAAATTTTTATTAGTCTCTCGATCAAAACTTTTACTTAATTTTTCACTTTTACTTATTTGTTTATAATACTGAGACCGGCTCTGTCTGCGGTCCAACATCTCAGATTGACTTTGGGTGCTATAAAAGCGGAGCGCCGCGCACGGTAGTCAGTCAGTCGAAAAGAGAATCCGGACCGCGCAGATATAAATTACAAGTAGTATGTATAAGGAATAGTGGTGTCGAAATAAATGAAGTTTCAAATTAATACGGTCTTATTTAACAAATATGCAGAAGCCAACTCAAAAAGATTTAAGCCCGGCTACAACGATGGCGCAATACCGATAGATATTTAACCGGGAACGGCCCCAAATCCTACGGATAAATTCCCGAGTCTCCCTACTGTTTTCCGCCATTATCACCGACTTAAATATTAAATTTCTCGTTAGCATCGCAAAAGGAGCCCGAGCGAAAATGAACACAAGGCCGGGGTCTTTGTGAATAAATTTGCAGTGTGTATATATCGCTGTAGAATGAGAATTCTCCAGGAAATTAAATTACATTGCACTCGGTGTCCTTCGTATGGTGGTGGTGGTAGTCGTAGTAGTAGCATTTAAAAATTGATACAAATTTTGGCAAAGTAGAATGAGAAATAGGGATTTCTAGGTGAAAAAAAGGCAATAGTTCAATTTGATTATCTCGCGGATCATTGAAATATGAAAAACAGCAGTAAAAAATATACGGTTTTTCACAGGTTTGGCTAAAGAAAAACCCATTACATCTAACGTTATAGTCGACGACGAGTTACAAATCGATCCCGAATACTCAATTCGAGAGCTCTATATTGTTCTTACTTTATGCGTCGAACGGATTTGGAACCGTTCCAGTGCGGACAGTCCTAAAAATATGGCCTATTACGGCGGACATTTTCGGAATATCGACAAATATTTTGACCCATTTAATGCCCGCGATTTTCATGTACGTCGATATCAGCTATACAAAACATATTTTAAGATGATTTACTTAGAATTTTGCAATAAAACTCTGATACAAACTGCATTATCTTTTATTGTGTTCAATTTAAATTGACATTTTAATTGGCTGTAAGTTTTTTTGTTTTTAGAGATTTCAAAGTAAACAAAAAAGCAAAATGTAGGTTTCGTACTCAGGTTTTTTTTCCAAGTAACGTATAAAATAAAAAACTATCAATTTTCTGTATAGTATTTAATAGAAAATCTTATTCCAAGTACAATGATGTAACACATTTTACATTTTAGTACTTTTTGTTTTTTTGTTTACCCTGATATCTCTAAAAACGAAAAAGTTACAACCAATTAAAACGTTATCATAATTATCGTAATTAGATTGTTTTAATAGGAAAAGAAATATGTTTGAACTAGATAGAGCAGAATCGACTTACATGTCAGGGGCTCGATTTTTTAGAAATATTTAATGGTTAAAACCGGATGGTGTCTTCACTACCAACCGACATATAGAGTGTTTTTCAATTTTCGGCCCTTTTGAAAAGTGCCAATAACTTTTTTATTTATGAAAATTTTGGATTTGAATAAAGACATTATCAGCGCATTTTTTTTAAAGACAAATGCAGTGGGGTACTCAGTACTTTTCTACAGTTCTCCGTTTTCTCATAAATGAATACAATTATCTCATTTTATTTCAGCCATATGGATTTGTTAGTATTCGTGATGAAAAAGATGTGATTTTCCGTTTATGTATTAGTAAGCAGTATGCATGTATGTTCAAAAAGACGTCACATAGAAGCCTTTAAAATAATAAACGCCGGAACTTTATAATGAAATGTTTTAACCTAAATGTTCAGATTTGGCGCGGCCCTCTTGAATACATTGATCGCACCTTTTTCGTATTGAATGGCAACTATTCACTAACACTAAAAAATTGTAAAGTAAAATGTAAAAAAAGTAGACCGATATAAGATATAGCTACAAGAAATAGGCCTGTAGTTAGTTTTCAGCCCGATGTAATGCACCATCTCAACCAGAATCTCTTCACATGAGTTGACGATTTCTATAGATACTCGAATTTTTCTTGGATAAAGGAAAGAGCTTGATACATGTCGAATAGAGTTTGGTGTCCTGTTTCGTGATGATGTTCGTTATTTGTCGAAGTCTGGCAGATCTCTGGTGTTCTTTTAATTTGGTTGAGATTTTGCATCCTGCTCCGGTGTATTTCTGCGTATATTGTAAACACCTGCTGTCTCCAGCTTCTGGAATAAAATATGGTGTCTTGTTTCCGTGATGATGTTAGATATTTGTCGAAGTCTGACTGATCTCTGGTTTCTTTTAGTTTAAGAAGTTTAGGAAGTAAGACATCTCACCTCAGTCCTTCTCCCGAACAACTCCACTCCCTATGTCAGCGACACCCAACGCAAGAGGGCTTCCCATTGCTTATCATTACTTATTTCAGATTCGGCGCGTAGCGACACCAAATCGAGTTCGGCAAAGACGATAACGTTGCGTTCGAACGGTACAGCGAAATCGATAGAGGACCCGCAGGACCCGAGCAACCGGGTGTCGGCTACCGAAGAGACCGACGTCGCTTTGAAGACCGCCGACGAGGAGGAAGCGGCGACCAAGATCCAAGCCGCTTTTCGGGGTCACAAGACGCGGAAAAGCATGAAACAACCGGCAGCTAACGAGGAACGCGAACCTACCAGGGAAGAATTGGAAAACGAATTTCGACTCGACGATGCAGGTCGGTGGATGATCCGTGGTGCTTATTTTTTTTTTATTTAAACCGTTTCGGCTCAGTCGCTTACACTTAATGCGAGAAACGGTGGATCATTAAGCAGGGTACACAACTTAATGGTTATATCGTTTCAAACAAACGCCTTTAAGCACTAAACACACCTCTACAGGCAAGTGGTTGACATAGGAATAGTAATAATAAAAACTTCTATAATGTGTCTCATATTCGCTTCTCTATACTAGGATCTCCGCTCCTATTAAACCTACTTCAAAGGTTAAATGAGGAAATAAGGAGTTTTCGAGGAAATTTGATAAGCGGCTTCAGATTTAAGATCGATCAATTGCTTTGGGAAATTTTAGAACTTCATATTGATCTTGATGGGTTTACTATGTGCTAAAAAAATGACACACCTTTTTTTGAATCTCGATAAATGCCAGATAATACAGTTTACAAGGAAAAAATATCTGAATATTGACACGAGGCTAACTTTTTCTATAGAAAGAATCAGATCTGACTACTTCTTAAAACTCACCGCTTATTAGACGTAGTGTCTATTAACTTACGAAATATCTAGTTAAATCTTTTGTCTGTTTAATCTGCGCTATACTGTAATTGGGCAGCCTCGTCTACCTGTTGGTTAGCCTTTGGGTTTATCCAGTAAATCCAAAACGGTTAAAGTGACAGCTGTCAAAATTTCACATTATTCATGCACGAGTAACATAGAGTATATGACATGTCTCAATAGTGTTATGATCGCCATATTGGATTTTTCGATTTTTGGGAAGAGCGCGAAATTTCCTGTTCGGCTGTGTCTCGCAGGTGCACAAAAGACTTTATCACATTTCGTCACGGACGCCTTTGACTTTGACGTTATATAATTGGAAGTATCAACGTTGTATTTCAATAATCTGTGCATTTTCTCTTATTAAAATCATAACTGTAACACTATCCGAGTATGGAACTTTATCAGCGAGCAATATTTTATTAAATGGTCCGATATTTGGGCCTCATAGATCCCCTGACCCACCCTTGGATTTCTTCCTCTGGGGTCACACAAAAAATTAAGCCTATGAATTTTCTGATCCTCCCCAGATGATATTAATATCGGGACAAAGAGTTCCATTTAGAGTCGTTAACATTAATTGTGTAATTAAATTTTACTTTATATTACTTGTAAATTGTTTCTGTCGCGATTTTCTGTTTCAATTTTTATCGAACTTGTACGCTCTTCAAGTATAGTTATTCCTACATGCAAGAAGGTTTCAACGTTCCTAATTTTACTTGGGTCCATGAATTCACAGTTTAATATTTCGTTGATAAGTTACAACGTCAAGTAGCAAGAAGATTTTCTTAATAATATTGCTGGAAATATTTCTTCATGATAGTCTCTAGTCCTTCTTGGAAAGAGCAGTTTTCCTGACCCGTTTCTCAGCAACACTAACCATTTTCAAAAAGGATCCAAAACTAAGGTAACCTGTACCTACCTACCTGACAGTCCTGAGATCCTTGACAATCATCATAGCTCGGCTACGACGACTAAATTTTACACTTCAATAATGCTTTACGCCTCTGACATTAAGAAACATCATTGATTTAAAATTAATTAAAATGCGCATTAATATTCAAATATACGGTGGCGATTGTTTAATTGCCCTTCGAAGGGTCTTGCCAATGAACCTAATGACAAGAAAAGTTTATATTTTAATTTTTAATATTTAAATTTTATTAATTTTAATATTTAAAGTGTTTTAAAAATAAACTTGACTGGTTCTCGATAATAATACTAATGATGGATGCTCGAATTTTTTTCTTCATTTAAAATAACGATATTCTCAATAATCTATAATCTCAGAAATTTGGATACATAACTGTATAAGCTGAGGCGCATCTGTCAAACTGATCATCCTTAGTCTGTGGTTAAATTTTCGTTGCAATCAGTTGGATTAGTAGCGGCACAACACAATTTTATATGGGGCAATCAAAATATATGAAAAAATAAACACATAACCTCAAATTCTGCCTAAGCTATGCAAAATTCGAATAGCAATTTCTTAAGAAAGTGACCTTTATTTTATCTTCAGAAGAGTCCAAGAAACTTTTGTAGGAAACTTTTTTTTCGCATTTACTATGGATTGCCATATCGTATGGTGGATCGTTTTATTTCGCAAACGGTGTCCAAAAACAGGTTTTATTAATTGGTGACTAAATATTAAGGTCATAAACCAAAAAATTCATAAATAAAAAAAAACATTTAAAGCGGTAGGAGTAATACCATCTCATTAGGTTATGTAAAGGGCCTAAGGAGTGACTTTCTCCGAAATGTATCGAAATGGAGCCTATTCAGACCAAAATTAGACTCACGAGTTTATTATAAACGTAAAACACACAACCGCAATATAGAAATAGAACGAGGCGGCTAAAAAAGAAAGGGGACTGCCTCCGACGTGATCGAACTCAAAAACAGCATAAGGGCGTTTCCGTTTCCGCTCTCGTATTCGAAAATACGACGGGACGTTTCTGCGTGCGTTTAGCAAGACTTTTAAATTAGCCACGTCCACTTAAATTGGCCGGACGTGAGGAAGGAAGAACTATGCCGGTTGTTTAGGGAAATTGAAAATGCATCGGTGAAGGTCAGGCCTTTGGAAATAGTAAAGATGGGTGGCCCGCCAAATTACTGGGCGTGTGAGTATTGAGTGTAGATGTTTGAGTGGCACGAAACGGGCATCGTCGCCAAATGCAAGCAAAACTTTTAATATTCGTGCCAATAATACGATTTTTTTTCTTATTAATTGTTGCTTATTAGTATCTTTTTGGGTGCCCCTTTTTCCATAAAACGCCTTACTTTTGCTCCATCACGTCATTTTTCCATCCATCCATCCATGAAATTAATAAGTAAGAAATTAAATGACATTTGCCAACACTGGATAGCGTTAGATTTCTTTGCAAAGCAAAAGAGTTGACGCGTAAGCGTCAATACGGCGTTGTACCCCGCTTATACGTAGAATACATTATATGAACAATCCAAATAACTTTTGTTATATCTGTGGTAGTTACGCCGTAAAGGAAAAGCAAACTATAACTTATTTTATGAAAAATATAAAACACGTTAAATTTTGGTGGAAAAATTGGCGACCAAGACAAGTCCTGGGCTCATCATACTGTTTGTTCCGTCTGCGTTGAAGCGTTAGCATTAAGAAACTGAAAAAAGTAGAAACAACTGTTGAAGCTTTGGTGTTCCTATGGAGAGCCTAGGAATCACAGTGATGATTGTTATTTTTGTTCATGTAATGTTCACAGATTCGTATGGAACTGACCTCTGTTGCTTGATTTGTGAGTGCAATAGCCGGGAAGAGATAGACATTGGACTCAAATAGAATGACCCTCGAGAACAAGCCCTACAATTGATAGCAAAAATGTGTTATAGACAAAAATGACCAATATTTCAAATATTTGTGCGAGAAGTTTCCAGCCATATCTGAATGCCAAGATAAAAGAAGGTATTTTTGTTGGGCCGCAGATAAGAACATTATGCAGAGATAAGATAATATCTTGAATAATGTCTGAGTTTCATTTAAAGGAGTAATTGATAATTTTCTTGGGACGAAAACTACGAAAGTATTCAAATTATGTTACAACACATTGTCTAGGTTCTAATATGAGTTTGAAAGTGAATTTACTGTTTTCGAACTTGAACTATTTTCCGGAAGATCTTGGAGTAGTTAGCGAAGAGCAGGGAGAGAGATTTCACCGGGACATTAATGAAGCGGAAAAATACATTATTTTATAAATATCGTTTTTTTTTCTTTTGTATTTTCAAGGAAATCTTGTCAGCCTAGTAAAATTATATAAAATCAGATTTCAAAATATAAACATCTCTCCAAATGTTTCATTTTCTAGACCTCTGTCATTTAAAGGGAAAACTGAACGTTTTAAAGGAGATAGACGAAAATTAATGTCGGAACCTGAGACTCAATGAAAAAGAAAATGGTAAAAACTTTTTCCACTGTGATCCTGTATAGAATATCGCTTTTATTGGTTAATCGGAATTTTGTTTTTTTATATTTACTTTACAAAGTAAATAAGAACTAAAACCTCAGATTTTCACGAAATTATATATTTTCACATGACAAAATGTAAATTTGATAAAGACACGGTGTTGTCGAAATAATTATCGTGTGAAAATATATAATTTCGTGAAAATCTGAACTTTTGGTTCTTATTTATTTTGTTCAATGGATTTTCATCAAGTAAAAGCCACCTCAGTTCAATATTCACTTTACATTTACTTAAGTAGTCGGTATTTTCCCAAAAACGAAGAAAAATAGTCAAAGTAGCAAAAAATATCTCTAATTTAAATTAAAAAAAAAGACCCTTAATACACTAATATATTAATTAATATGTATTTATATACAGGATGTTTAAGAAAGACGCGACATTTTTAAGAGAGGTAATTCTTCAGATAATTTTATGAAAAAACTGCCAATAAACGTAGTTCTGGAAATGCATTGTTTCGAAGATACTGAATAATGTTTTTCAAAAAAATTCAAATTAGAATTTGATCTTCAAATATTGCATGTGGATCTTCAAAACACTATAAATAGTTTCGATTAAAATTTCAGATTGTATTTCTTGAAAAACTTCATCAGTAAACAGAATCAACATCAGTATTTGGAAGATTTCAACCATTCCGCGCAAAAGTAATTAACAGAACGCAATGCATGGAGGAAAATCCCACGGAAGAAGTAATTGAACGTTGAACAATTTTGCAAAGAGTTTTTTTTTATTTATTTATTTATTACAAAGGTGCCCTAACATGAAGAACTAACTTCACAATTTGCAAGGACACACTAACAATTATACTATTATTTAATTAACAAAGTAAAACTTATAAGTAAGTACCTACCTATATCTACGATAAGCAGAAGATAAAAAATAATAATAATAATAATAATAACAATAAAACTTACCAAACTAAACCAAAACTAACACTGAATATTAAGTGCGTG